GAGGGTGTCCGTACCCGAAGTCAACGCCAGCAGGAGACGGACCAAAGAAGATTTGGTGGTGCAACGCCGCAGACATCGGAGGGCCAGCCGCCGGCTGCAGGCCCGTCAGTAGCTCCTACATCTGCTGCACCTGACTTAGGTGCTCTTATGGTGATGCTGCAGGAGCAGGCTCGCTGACAGGAGGAACAGACTCGCCGACAGGAGGAACAGGCTCGCCGACAGGAAGAACAGGCTCGCCGACAGGAGGAACAGGTCCGTCAGTTGAAAAAGCAGCTGCAGAGCGGACAAGAGGAACAGGTCCGTCGTTTGGAAGAGCAGCTGCGGGGTGGACAAGAGGAACAGGCCCGTCGGTTGGAAGAGCAGATGCTCCTCATGAAGGAACTTCACGCTACCTTCGGGAAGGAGATCAAGGAGGTGAAGGATAGGGTAGGTGCTCAGCTTGACAACCGCCTGTCAGAAGCTGAAACCCAAATTGCGAAAGCTGAAATCCGAATCGAGAAAGCTGAAACCCGAATCAACCAAGTGAACAATCGGGTTGACAACGTGATGGCTGACGTGAAGAAAACAATGGAACTGGGGGATGGAATTACAGCTCCCGTAGTAGTTACAACACCTCCACTACGTGGGTTCAAAGTGCCACCGTTCGACGGGACTTCTTCCTCTGGTCAGCTTACAAAATCCAGTTTGAAGCCGTTATGAAGGCGAACGGCTGGAATAAAAGTCAGTCCATGACTGCTCTCACACTAGGCCTGCGCGATCAGGCCTTAACTGTTCTGGAAGCTCTCGGTGAGGAAGTGACTTATAAGCAGTTCCTTGAGGCATTGGAGGCGAGATATGGCGACGCTCACATGGAACACGTCTTTCGATACGTCTTGCGAGCATAAAGATCGCGTGCAGCGCATCAATGAAAACCTGCAGCAGTGGGCTCCAGAGGTGGAGAAGCTGGTGCGAAAAGCATACCGGTCTGTACCTGCGCTCATTGAAAGGAACCTGGTGCAGACATTCATCGACGGCATCCGCGTCCTTGAAGTCAGAGCTGCTATGAGGCTCGGGCACCACGAGACGCTTAAGAATGCCTTGGCCCATGCACTGGAGGTTGAAGCCGTGCGGCAAAATCTTCGTTCCCATCTCGTTAGGGAAGTTGCAGCAGCTACAGTTCGCGACCGCAATAATGGATACAGCCCTAAGTGCTATGGCTGTGGGGAAAGGGGCCATCTTCGATCCAGCTGCCCTAAGCGAACCCTAGAAAGGGAAGGTGAACGATCTCAGAAGGGAAGTGCGGCTAACATGCGTGCGGCAGCCGGGATACGACTTTACTATCAGACATCGCAGCGGGAAATCTCATGGCAACGCAGATGCATTGTCAAGAAGGCCTTGTCCTGAAGATTGGAAACATTGTACTAGGCAAGAGAGTAAAGAAGTGGTATCCGTGAGGATGCTCAGGACAGACCACCTCAGCAACGAGTGGAAGGACAAGCCTACGACATCAAGCAGCAGGAAGATCCGCACATCAAGCCGATTCTGGAATGGCTGAAGGCCCGTGCTACCAAGCCTAAGTGGAGCGACGTCTCAGCGATGAGTTCGACCGCTAGAAGCTATTGGGCCCAATGGGAGAGGCTTGCTGATTAAGGATGGAGTCCTGTGCCGTAAATGGGACAATGGTCGAGGAGATAGCTGTCGTTTGCAAATGGTTGTTCCTAAAGCTAAAGTGCCGAATGTTCTACAGCTGTGGTATAAGGGTCGTTCAAGAGTCCATCTGGGAGTTAAACGAACTCTACTGAAGGTCCGAGAATAGTTTTATTGGGTCCATTATCGTGACGATGTCGAGGATTGGTGTTGTACATGTACAAGTTGTGCGGCTGTGAGGGGACCTCGGCACGTAGTAGAGGAGCATCGAAATTGTACAATGTTGGTGCACCATGGGATAGGACAGCCCTTGACATTGCGGAGCCGATACAGAAAGGCGCAAAAGGGACTCCTAAGATCGTCCATGTGGATCGCTTGGCGCGTTATTATGGGGCCGATAATGCTCGGGACGAGCATGTCTTAGGAGGAAGCAGTGTTGCGCGCCTAAGTTGACGTCATGTACCCGGCACTAGCGCCATCTAGTGTCGGGGACGAGCAGGGAGGAACTTTCCAGAAAATGACATCACTAATCTTTCAACCGACAGCGCCATCTAGTATCGAAACGAAGAACTAAGCTTCTAGAAGCCGACACTCGAACTTTCGACGCCTTGCGCGTATTTACTTGAATGTTCTGGATGTTTCGGTGCTAATGTGTTTTATAGGCGCTGCAAGGTGCGATCGGGGAAGTATTGAATTTGGAGAGACAAGCGAAGCTTCGGAGCGAAATAAAGTGAATCAGTGTGGTTAATTATTAGTGTTTTAAGTTTTAATTGGTGTTCGGGAATAAAAGTGTAAATTTTGGTGATTCAATCGGCAGTTTTTATTGTCACAAACCTTAAGCTCGTAACAATATTCATATCGGTTTTCTCCTTCTGTTACTGCGTGATATTAGATCGTTAGCTAGTTAAAATGTAAGCTAAAATAACTTTTAAATACACCAATTCAAGTGAAAAATAAATGTATTATATTCTAATTTAATAAGAATAAAAAAATGAAACTAAGTTTTTAAGCTTTTGTTATCAACCATGGTCACGAGGAGACTGAACTACAAATTTATTAGTTAACGACGGCTACCTATAGTTTATAATTATAAATTTGAAAAATAAATATATTATAATGTAATTTAATAAGAATAAAAAGTATGAAATTAAGTTTTTAGGGTTTTATCGCATTTACTTATTTTATCCAACAACCATGGTCACGGGGAGACCGAGGTTTTTTGACTTCGTAATTTCTTAGTTAACCACGGCACGCAGAAAGAGTTTATAATATCTTGAAATCTTGAAGTAGCATGCCTGGATTGATTTAATTTAGTATAGCTAAATTTTAATAATCGGCCCGGGCTGTCGTAAGAGGCGACAAAGGAAAAATTAAACAGGAGATGGACAACAGAATCTTCCCGATAAGAACTGCAAATTATACAAACTTGTGGTTGTCAACCCGCTTGCCGAGCGTGGCAACTATCGCAAAATTCCCCCATGAGACAATCTATGAGGTCTATTTACGCAGCAGATGTTTAAGGGCTGTAATGTAATAATGTATGGATGGATATTTTAATTTAGTAGCACACAGTCATCTTCTCTATTGAAAGTAGGCTGTTTCTTGATGTCCATAGGCGTCGATTCCTCACATTATAGTCTACCAAATATAAAAAACATATTTTGACAGCTGTCAGACTTATTGCACCAGGCATGCCAATCAAAAAATGAGAACGTACAATATTCGATTCTTAAAAAACTCGATAATTTAGATTTGGTAATCGTTTACAGTTTATTTGAATGATACCAAAATAAATTTAAAACACAAGATTTATCAGTTTCTACGTATTTGTTGTTACTGCTTATTTCTAGAGGCACAGTTATAAAAATTAAAGATTAAAACTAGATTAAAAATAAATTTATTTAATCACTTTCAGTACAATGAGCTGTCGCTGTTTAGATTAATTATTATTTGTTTTTCAATAATGCAGTCAAAATTAATGTCTCTATCAAAGTCATCCATAATAATTTTTTTGTGTTTTTTACCACTTTTGCCCAAAGATCCTTTGTGACATGGGCACATGCTTCAACGAATATAGAAGAAACAGTCTAAAAAGTTAAAGCCAAGTCACAAAACAACAACAAACACAAAATTACACATAGTAAGGTCCTTAAAATGTTGGATATTGAAATTACGTAGTGGTTTTTTCAGCGCGGCTTTGTATATGAGTTTTTTTTGCCTACACAAATTTACGTAGACAAATTAAAAAAAAAAACAAACGTGTTTTATTCATGGTTCATGTAATTTAAGGAATTTTAAAAATAAAAATTAAATGATACAAATAATACGTTAAAAAATTAATGATTCGATTATTTGAATATTTTTACCGATTATTTGAATATTTTTGCCGATTATTCGCATAACATGAATTTTAATCATCCAAACACTACGGTAATGTACATAGCGACATGTCATTGAAACGACTTGAAGTAAAAAAAGTAGATACCGGTTATTTTTTATTATTTTGCTTTGTTTGAAAGATTCAAATTTAAACTAGTGTTAAAAACTATACATGTTGTAAAGAAATATAGATAACTTCATAATTCTTCGGATTTGCGTAAAAGGTTATTTTAAATCGTGTGAGTACGCTTGTGCAAAGTTATTGCTGAATGATTAATGTGAAACGTCAAAAGGTATTTCTTAGATTTGGTTGACCATAGCTACATTTAATTTTGCGCAGTTTTATTGATCTTTTAGTCTTAAATAAGTTATTTAAACGCTATCGTTCCGTAATAGTTGTCGCATAAATATAAGAAATCGTTATAAGTTTCCAATATATTTTTTCTTTTATTCAATTTTTTCTTTTAATCAACGCAATTAGTGGTGTGTCGTCCCTACTATGATGGTGTTGGGAGTGGTGGTGCTGGGATTTGTGGTGACGGGGATAGTGCACGCAATTGAGGGAGGAATCCTTAGGCTGGATCAGTGACGTCACGACATGTTCTAATATGGCCGACAACGTTTTCCAGATTAGAGGAACCGATGAAAAAAATATTCTTAATATGAAAATTTTAAATTTATAATGCAACTTTATAAACAGAAATCAATATTTCTTATTCACTTTTTACAAACTCTATCATAAATATATATATTTTTTGATTTTATTTTACATGGTGTAAAATACCTTATTATCTTTTGTATAGTAGAGACCGTTTACATACATAAATTGCACAAGGACAAACATCCAGATCCGGAAAAGTTATGTGTAGGCATACAAACACTTGTTCTGTGCAGGATTCGAACTCGCAGTGCGTCGCCACCAAACGTTTGGCCACTGAGCTATGGAGCCGTCAAACTAGTTATGCAGCTTTTAATATAGATTTTATTTATTGTAGCGACGTCCATTAGTCTATACAACACATGAAGATTTCACCGTAAGTGGGGCTTGGACAATAATACCCCTACTGCGACCACTCACGACAAAGTGCAAGGGCAGCGATGTCCGGTGGGTGCTGTTCGTCGAACCCCACACTGCCGTTAGGTGTGGTAAGCTGTTTGAAGCGCTGGCTGCGGCTGATGAACATCAGGTACTTTTAAATTATACCGCGTACCAATACCAATTATACCACATATTGATCTCTTTGCTGATGCTATCCGTTTAATGATTAAGTGACTTTTGAAAGTCGTTGGGAATTTAAAAAAATTCTATCATAAAGTTTTATTTTCATTTTTACAACAAGCAAATGTTACAACCTCGATTTTCGATATTTTCGTTTACATTATTGATTGATCGATATTTTAGAGGATCTAATATTGATTTTAAATCATCGATGTTTCAATAGCATTAATGAATGTCGGTCATTCCTACCTTTATAATAACGATCAGATAGTTCAGTTGTTTTATTGTTGCTATTATTTTAAACAGTTTATAAAAATTAACCTACGCCCATTTTAGGACACAATGTGGATAGGCTATCCGCTAAGTGATGAAGAGCCAACCATTATCCACCACTTCATGTTCTATGAAGAACTGGAGGACGAAGGTGGTTTTGTTTACCCATATTTTGCTAGTGGATTCGCGATGAGGATAAAGCTTATGGAAAAGTGAGTGACTTTTTGCTATTATCTAAATTTTTAATAAGGAAAACTAGTTTTAGTTTTCGGCCGGATTGGAAAATATCGTATTTCCTTACTGAATGATTTTTACCTCTGGAAAATGTATATAAAAAGAAATAATGATTTCTTAAATTTACGCGAACACTACACATTGAATAAAACTATTATTTACGGATTTTATCGCGTTTAATTACTTTAATTTACTTTTATTATTATCTCGACGTTTCGGGTGCTTCACAGCACCCATGGTCACGGGGGGGGGACTGAGATGTTTGACGTCCCAATGTCATAGTTAGTCCGGCTACCTTCAGTTTTTTTAATATTAATTTTTGGTCCGATTTACGCAAAACGAGCTTATAGTATCATGAAGTCTTGCAGTGGTATGCTTGGGTTTGGGTTTAATTTTGTTAATTATAGGATCCCAAGCAGATGGTAGCACCCAACCATCTTCTCTATTGAAATTTGGATGTTTTTTTTTAATTTCAATAGCCTCGCGTATCATCCTTGGTAGGAATCGGTGTTCTTTTGCGAGAATTTGTGGTTTATCAAATCTAATGTAATGGTGGGGACGATCTTGAACATGTTCGCAGACTGCAGACTTCCCGGAGCGTCGGTGCTTCACATCAGCTATATGTTCCTTCACGCGGGTTTTTTTTATAGATCTCTTTGTTTGACCTATCTAAGAGAGACCACATTCACAATCTAGCTTGTACACACCTGCATCTTGTAGAGGAATATTACATTTGATGGATGGTAAAAATTGACTAATCTTCTTCAGCGGCTTGTAGTATGTCTTAATGGACGCTCGCTTCAAGATGTAGCCAATCTTGTCCGTGACTCCTCTGACATATGGTAGTAGAGAAGGCGCGCGCTCGACTGTGGCCGGCTTCACTCGTTCACTGTGACGTAGGCGCGGGACCCGAAGCTTGTTGTCTTGCAATACTTGCTTGACGTGCTGAAGCTCCGCGGCCAGATGTTTTCTGTCACAGATCCCTCGTGCTCTCTGAAACAAAGATTTACCCACGGTAGCTAACTGTGAAGGATGATGGTGAGATTCACCATTTAGATATCGGTTGGTATGGGTCTTTTTCCTATACACAGTGTGACCAATAGTGTTATCAGGATTTCGGATGACTAAAACATCTAGGAAGGCTAAAGAATTATTTGTCTCTAACTCCATTGTGAATTGTATTTTAGAGTTTATGGAGTTAAGGTGGTCTAAAAATGCAGTTACTTTGTCAGATGGTAAAATTGTGAAAGTGTCGTCTACGTACCGCTTGTAGAATCTTGGATTTACAGGAGCAGTAAGAAGGGCTTTCTCCTCAAAGTCCTCCATGAATATGTCGGCGACTATGGGAGACACAGGTGAGCCCATCGCCACAGCATCTACTTGCTTGTAGAACTCCTCCTTCCACAATAGATAGCCAGATGTGAGGCAATGTTCAAGTAGTATTGCATATTCTTGAGGCATGTTATTTTCTTCTAGCTTCCTAGTTACGATTGAGATGCAGTCCACAATAGGTAGGCATGTAAATAGTGACTGAACATCAAAACTGACCAAAGTTTCATTGTTAGCGAGATGTAGGTCTTTTATCTCACTCACAAAATGGTACGAATCCTTTATGTGTGCTCTGGTATATCCTCTCGGTGGTGATAGTATTTTTGCTAAGTATTGTGCCAGCTTATAAGTTGGTGAATCGATCTGGCTCACTATGGGACGTAGTGGAGCGTTTGGTTTGTGTATCTTCGGTAACCCGTACAACCTCGGTGGTTTGGCACATGATGGTATTAGCGAATTTACGTCGAGATTTAATTTTTCGGAGTATTTCTTTACTAAATCGCTAGTTGTTTTAAGCGTGTTAGTTGTATCGTCTTTTTTGACCTTTTTATACGTACTTTCGTCCGATAAAAGTTGTTGTATTTTAAAATTATATTCCGACGCGTCCATTATTATCGTAGCATTTTCTTTATCCGCGCGGAGAATCGTGAGTTCTGGTCTGTTCCGTAAGTTATTTAGCGCTGTAAATTCGTCTTTGGGAAGGTTTGGTTTCGGCACTGAACTACGACGTAACAAGGGCGAAATATCTTGACGTATGGCCTCAAAATCTTCCTTACCGATATTATTCTTAAAGAGACAATCCTCAACACTGCAGATAATTTCTTCGTACGGGATTTTTCGCGGAGTTAATGCGAAGTTCATTCCCTTCGCTAATACTTTCATTGTCGGTTCGTCCAGTGTATGTTTTGACAAATTATAGACAGTGCGTTGTTTATAGTTTGTGTCTATGGTCAACGGTTGTTTATTGTTCTGGCGTTGACTTGGATGTTTGGCATTTGATTTGATCGTTAATTTTTGGTATTTTTCTATTTGTTTATTTTTGCATTCATTGTATTTCGATGTTTCTCGTTTGTTTAAAGTTTCGATGCAATTATTAAAATCAAATGTCGTTAAATTGTCTTTAGTTCACTGGACAAATTGTCTATGGTGTTGTTTATGAAATGTAAATCGAACCGTTTCTGCTGAATCATCGTCCGTAACAACTTTTTACTTGCCTGATTTAAGATCTTAGCGCTTCCTCGAATGTCCTTCTTTGTTGATATTTTGACACACGTAGGAATGAGATTATGGTCTCTGCATCTCTTCAAGAAATTTAAAGATGTTATATATCTTGCGCGCTTGGTTTTAAGATCTTCTAATCGGCGAATTTTATTTGCTATTACCAGTCCGTACTGGTTCACATAATGATTTCTTAAATTTACGCGAACACTACACATTGAATAAATATTTACGGATTTTATCACGATAAAATCCGTAAATAATAGTTTTATTCAATAAAAAGAAATATTCAATAAAACTTTTATCGGATGGGTTTATAAAGTAAAATAAGTACTTTAAATTAATCGAGATAAAAAAAAATTATAATTTAATTGCCCGAAATAAACTTTGACGTTCGAGTTTTAATTAGTGGTAGAGCCACGCGGCAGCTTTTACTGTCGCAAGGATGGTACCACGACCTCACAGAATACCAGCGTAAAGTAGAGCGTTTCACTTGGTGAGTACTGGTGGTCAATTCCTCCCCCCCCTCCCCCTTAACATGGTAGCGCAATTAAGTGAAGAACTACCTCATGAGGGTACCGGCACCCGACTGAGAATCCCTCGCGGAGAACCCACAATCAAGTTATCCTATTCCTGTGCGTGGGTGCTAACGCTGCCCCGCGTATTCTTAGGGGGGGGGGGGGGGCAATTATAAATTGGCAAGCAGAGTATCAACACCAAGGCGACCCCTACCACGCTATCCGTGAATTTTTGAAACATCAGGGGATTTCATTCCAACCTTAACATTGTTCACTACCATCTGAAGTCGGCGAAGCCGGCCTTGCTTTTTTTAACCAAGACAGAGGTGTCCTCTCCAGCCGATACTTCATAACTCTCCTACCGGGGTACAACTTAGAACATTCCTTTGAGCCCCGGGCTGGAGTTATACGTTAAAAAGGACATTTGTTTTCGGCAGTCTTGAAGGTACGGACCTGTCCATCCTATGGCTGCGCGTAGACAGCGATGACCATCCCCGCGTCTACGGGTGCCTCTATAGGTCCCATACTAAAAACAAGATAACAGAATACCAGACCTACTCCGCGACCACGTAAAAATGGCTACAGATTCCGTGTTACAGCAGATCCCATCCGCAGAGAACGTGATCCTTGGCGATTTTAATGCCCACCATGCCGAATGGCTTCGTTCACGTTTAACCGATCATGCGGCGAGATCTGTTTATGACTTGGCTTTGGCATATGGTCTGACACAACTTGTTTGGATTCCATATGTGGAAGATCATACACCTTCCATGTTGGACCTTCTGCTGACCTCTCATCCGGCCGGATATCATGTTTCCGTGGACGCCCCTTAAGGACGCGTTTACAAATCAACCAAAATTAGGGTGTTTTTCGGGAGATTTTGTGACAAAACTAAACCAAATCAAATATAAGTAAAAACTACCATGTATAGATTGGTTCTTCATCTGCAAACGTCTGTAACTCTTTTGTTGAAAATAGTAGTTTCTTATATTGTAAAAACGAACTTTCGTTGCCATTTTCTACAAAATTAACGATACCGGCTTGTGTTTCGGTACATGTTTTGGTCTATTATCAACATATTTAAAAAATTTAAAAAAATACTATAAGATAACAGACATATTCAATTAAAAAACCCTGTGTTTATTTTTATCAAAATGTCACAAATAGTCGTAGAAAAAATAAAAACTGATGCACATTTTTTCACATATTTTGCTAATACGGATAAATCATAATCTATTGCAATAAGGGCTATTTTATTGTTGGTGCCTGCTTTGATTTATTGTACAAAGATTTCGATGAAACCACAGTCCGCGCTTGGCCGCCGTCGTGAGTGGACACTGTATCGCCTGTTTGCAGCGGCTCATTCTGAAAAGATCGCTGTACATACACAAAATATTAGAAAAAAACAAATTGGAAACATAAGTACTTGACAAGTGATAAAATTATTATTTTTATACTCACAGTTTTTTATTTAGCTAAAAATAAGTAGGATATATAAACCTACTACTGCAACTCTTGGACGAGCGGAACTAGGTGTGCCGAGTTTGGGCTCGTTTTGTTGGTTATGATGAGACCTTACCTCCGGACTTGATGGCGTGACCTGAAGGTGTACTTTCGTGACCGCTATTTGAACTTCTTGCAGAGTAAAACTAGGGGTGGCGAATTTGGGCTCCGTTTTGTTAGTTATGACGAGTCCATACCTCCGGACTTGATGGAGTGACCTGAAGGTGTAAATCGGTGATTGCAACTGGAACTCCTAGACTGGTAGAACTAGGTGTGCCGAGTTTGGGTTCGTTTTGTAGGTTATGATGAGACTTTACCACCGGACTTGATGGAGTGACCTGAAGGTGTAGTTCGGTGATTACAAGTGGAACTCCTAGAGTTGTAGGACTAGGTGTGCCAAGTTTGGGTTC